TCGAGATAGGGGGCAACGGCATTGCGCTTTCGCCGGTGCGACTATAGCTGCTGGCTTATGGCTGCGTCCGAAGTTGCTCGACGGAGGATGTCTGTCAGCTCTCCCTCCATCCAACACACGTTAGCTCACCAGCGAGATAAGGGGAACAAACAACGAGCCACGCGACCTCGCGGATCGAGGCGAGGGGGCAGGGGAAGGGGCCCAAATAACCATGATGTGAGTAGACCACTTGACCGTTTCAGGCTTCGGTAAGGGGGGAGGGAGGGGAAGGATCGGACGAGCACCCACAGTTGCTATGTCATGATCCATTGGCTGCGTGCGAAGAGGTCCACAATGACTTGCGGTCTGCGGAAAGCGAAATGTCAGTGGCGATTTTGGGATAGAGGAAAACATAAACAAAACTACGAAAGGAAGAAAATTGCAAAGTGTCATGATGTTTCGGAATTTTGCTCCTCTTCGACCCGTATGTTCGAGCTGCCCCATTCCTTTGCCGGAACGAGCTACGTAATTACGTTAACGCGTAACGCTTTTTAATACAAAATTTGCGGGACTGCGCTGCGCCCAAGATCACACAAGTTGAGAGCTAGCTAAGAAGGGCTCTCACTTTTACCCGCGTACCCGGGGTAGACCCGCGCCTGTAGGCAATTTTACAAATCAGATCTACCGGGTACCCGGGTCACCCGAGTTACTCGCTGCTACCGGGTAGGACCCGTTTACCCGGTTCCTTCCTACACGGGTTACCCGGGTACCCGCGGGTCTGGGTTTTGAGAGCCCTATCGCTAAGCTCTGATGAACCTCCAGGAGGCTGATCGTACAGCTCCCGCCATTGCAGCGCGTCCTATTACCGGCCTACCGTCTCTCACCACGGCGCCTCATGGCCCCTTGCGAGTAGGCAACGCGTCCACACGCGTACGAGGTCTGTGGGCCACGCTAATTTGGGCTTCCGTTGTTCATAGTCTTCTTCCGCAACGGAGAACTCGAATGTGACTGCGCCACGTGTGCCCACCAGGTAACGCCGACCGCTTGGATTACACAACATGAGTTAAGTAGTTGAGATCGCTTCAATAATATATACTTGAACTTTACTTGAGTTAAAGAAAGAAAGGTCACTGGTAATTTGTGGAATGTTCCTAGAAGGAGTCTTCACTCAGAAGATAAACATATAAGTAGTGTTTGTGGTTATCTGATCAGTGAGCGAAGGGCAAGCGCCGAGTAGGCAGACAACCTTTCCACCACGTCGTGTAGGTTGGATGCCTGCATAGCAACCTACACTTGTTAGATTAAATCGTATCAAGATAAGATTGACGTGCAAGGCCAAGCCGTATCTGAAGCCTGAAAGTGGCGCACGGGTTTTGTGTGGGGTTTGCGCGGGTTTGCGTTTTCTGTTACCCTTAAGCCCCCAGCTCCAGCTCCAAGGCGTGAACTTCCGGCTTGGGCTCGGGCACATGCTTGTCGACGTGTTCCGGGTTACGGCCAGGGGTAGGGCATCAATGATTTAAAATGAGCAGACATGTCCCATTTCCAACAAAGTGTATGTTGTCGTAGACGTATTAGTGAATTTTGAACCCGTTTCTTTAAATGTATATAATTTTTGGTGCTAGTAGCTGTTGCTGCTTTCCCTGTACCATAATTGGTGTACCAAGGTACAAGTTGCTTTCCGCACCAACGATGTTCAAAATGTGCTAGATTGCAAAAGAAATAAAAAAATACGGTTTTCTGGAACAATCATTTTGTTTATTTCAGAATGTCTCAGTCAAAATGACCCTACTTACATTTTTTCGTGATAACTCTAGATCAGTCACAAAGTGGTAACTTCAGTTGAATTAAAAAATCACAATTAGATTTGATATCATTGAAAACTTTCGTATTCTAATACAACTATTTTCTGGGATTCGAAGATGTCTCAGGCTATTTACAACAAGGAATTCTCATTTCTTTTTTTTCCTTCCACAAAAAGTGCGAAAGACCTTTCTTTTTTAATGAATAAATAAATAGTATGAAAATGAATGGTAACTATGATAGCACGATAGCTATGTAAAATATCATCATGACACAAATGGTAACTTTGAGAGAGTGGTATGTAAATATAGACACTTTTCGCAGACAATGTTTTGACTAGCTACTGCGGAGCAAAATACTGAAAGAGAATGGTAATAATAGTGATTGCGAATGTCTATACTCATAAGTGACAAAGTGACAGTTCTCCTACCGCGGGACTTTTGAGCAATGTAAAGGGATGAACGGTCGGGAGAGGTTCGAACGCGAATTTGCAAGTACTCCGGGCGCGACTGTCCTCGTCCCGTATGGCATATTTATACAACGGTTAAGTTTTACCAGCCGCGCGTAAGTGCTGCCGCACTCGTTGGGCGCGGGTGGCAATACTTTCCGACTGAGGAGCAATCAGGGTCCAAACGTCAACTCGATGGCGTAAAGGAAATGAGTGGGTTGCGATGGCAATCCTGACGACGCTGCTCAGTCAGTAGGGACATGTATACATGCCTAGGCACCCCGGGCCGTCCGCGTGCTTAGTGGTACACGGTGTAGGGGGCCAGGGCCTTGCCGTACACGGGCACGGAGGTGTGGACGCGGGCCACGTCCTGCACGGCCGTCTTGAACACGGCAGGCTGCTGCACGGCCAGGCGGTGGATCTTGGTGAAGGGCTCCACGACGTCGATCTGCAAACGAGAGCGGTGGCGTCAGCGCCGTGAGGTAGGCAGCCCATGCGACACGGGCGCAGTAGGGGTGGTGGCACTCACCTCCTGGACGGTCTCGATGGGGCGGCTCACAACGACGCGCCTGGTCTGCACGCGCTCGCCGGTGGGGTCAGCGTGCTCGGGGGCGGGGGTGGCGGACAGCACGCGGGCGCGCACCGGGCCGGCATCGCCCACGGGGCCGGCAGCGGGGCCGGAGCGGGCGGAGCCCACCTCAGCGACGCCACCCTGAAGCAGGTTGAGGAATTCGTGTTGCACCTGGCAGGAACAGGAAGGGGAGAGGTCGCCGAACACGGAGGTCAGCGGAGGGGGACGGGGTGCTTAGGCTCCCCTGAAAACTAGCTCGCGTAGCTATCAGTTGTTGGTAAACCTCTGCCACATTTTTTAGGTGCGGGCAATTTTTTTAAAAATGAGCTATTTCTTTAGGACGCAATAAGGGTTCGTGTTCAAATTAACCCAAGTAGAACACTTGGTGTGGGGAACATTATTCCACTACATCTCGTGTTTAAGTAGAAAATCAAAGGGCGTCGCTTGGCACTCACCTGGGCGGTAAGAAGCTGGATGAGCCTCTGCTGGTTCTCCTGGCTCTGCTCGGGGCTGAGGTTGCGGACGGAGGGGACGACGTCGGCGGAGGAGCGGGGAGCGGGGGCAGGGATGAGACCCTCAAGGGGAGAGCCCAGGGAGCGGGTCTCGACGACAGGGGCGGGCTG